CTTAGGGCATATGGTTTCAACGAGTTCTAGTGTGGTTGGGTTCATTCCTGTATTTCCACTGTCAACTTCAGCCTGCTTTTCAAGCTCAACTGAACATGCCCTAATCTTTCACACTGCCTTTTTGCTGATGACACGGTCATTTTTGGAGAGGCTTCTTGTGAAGAAGCAGGGAAGATCCTGGACATCCTCAATGACTATGGGGCGGTCACATGTCAAGAAGTTAACAGGGATAAATCATTAATGTTCTTGAGCTTCAATGTTCCCAGTGACAAACAGGAAAAGATAATCTAGGAAGCTTGTTTTGCATCCTCCAACTGTCACTCCAACTACCTTGGAGTGCCTACCGAATGGGGAAGATCGAATAAAGAGGCCTTCAACTTTCTCCTCCAATGCATGGAAAAAAGAGGGGAAGCATGGAAAAGCCTCCTCCTCTCCGCAGGTGGGAAAGAAGTCTTGCTGAAAGCGGTTTTTCAAGTGGTCCCACCCTACATTATGTGCTTGTTCCTCCTGCCTAAGAACACAACGAAGAAAATGGACACCATGCTCAGAAATTTCTTTTGGGGAGGCTCTATGATGAAGAGAAGGATTCATTGGAGGGCTGGACATGTGCTGTATTCACCAAAAAAGTAGGGGGGACTCGGGTTTCGACCTTTTCATATCTTCAACATGGTATTATTGTCTAAACAGGCATGGAGGATCCTCACCAACAAGGATGCCTTGTGGGTCAAGGTACTGAAGAGTATCTATTTCCCCAACTCGGACTTCCTTAATGCAAAGAAAGGAGGAAAGGCCTCATGGATTTAGTCCAGTTTGTGTGAAGCAAAAACATGGATGCGACAAGGTTTGATCCGGGTGATTGGCAATGGAAAAACAACGAAGGTTTTCCAGGACCCATGGAGATTCGACAGGGCGAGCCCTCTTCTTTAGTTTGATTGGCCTGACATGACTACTGCTGACAACTAGATCAATGATATTTCGAGGGAATGGAAGTTTGATATGCTGGCTGATTTTCTTATCCCCCATGATCTGAAACAAGTGGCTGCCATCCCAATTGGTCCTGAGTCCCTTGAAGACTTCTGGGTATGGAGGTTTATTGACCAAGGAGCCTTCACGATTAAGTCAGCCTTCATCCATTTCCATAATCGTGTCAGAGCCTCACAAGGACATGTCGAGGTGGTTTCGGAGGTGAGTAAGAAGAGGTGGAAATGGCTTTGGAATCTGTCTATCCCCCCGAAGCTGAAGTTTTTCGTGTGGAGGGTGACTAGAGGAGCCATTGCGTCCAAAGAGAATCTACATGCGAGGAAATGCTTGGCTTCGAAGGTGTGCCCGCTCTGTGCTTTCCCTTCTGAATCGATACATCACTGCTTATTCACTTGCCCACATGCGGCTGAGGGATGGAATCGGGAATGGCCATCGTTGTCTCCCCCTGCTCCTCTCACTCCCTTCCTGGAATGGTTGGACTCCCTTCGACACAGCTTCTCGATCAGCTTGATTCAGAAGATCATTTTTCTCGTTTGGTAGACATGAAAAGCGAGGAATGAGAAGATTTTCAAAAACACTGCTCCATGGCCACCCTCCACATTCTCGAAGGCATCTTTGGCGCATCATCAATGGACCACCTGCCCCAGGAAGCTCCCCACAGGTCCCCCCTCTTCTCAACTCAACTCACCCCAATAGCACTCTTCATCACCGCCAGGTACTCATGATTTTGAAGTACACTGCGATGGATTGTTCTTCGACGATTCCCAGGAGGCTGCTTATGGCGTCGTTGTCTTGAACAGCCATGGTCAAGTGTGTGATGGTAAAGCTGAGATTTTGCACTGTTTTTCCACTCTTGAAGCTGAAGCAAAGGCTCTGATGGAAGGATCCCGATTGGCTGCATCCCTCAGTTCGCCTTGCTTGGTGCGATATGACTGCTTGCTACTGGTTCGAGCAATCCATAGCCGTCCAAAGTCATGGCCATGGCGAGCGGCAACTTGGTTGGGTATCATAAAACAAACACTGGACGATAATCCGTTGATCAAGATCAAGCACATCAGTAGAAAGAACAATTCTAAAGCTAATTGGATAGCTAGATCATGTGCTAAAAACCAATTACCCTCACAATGGTTACAGATTCTTGATGTGGTTGCTCTCCTTTTGTAATGTTTGGCTTTTGCTACGATTAATGGAAAAAAAGTGACCTTTGTAAAAAAAAAAGTTTTACAATAAAGATAATGGCCTATAACCATGGTTGTCAAACCGGTTTCATGCCGGCTGGTTCAACCGGTACCGGTCAGCAAACCGGCTGGAAAGGGGCCGGTATTTAACTGTGGTCAAATCCGGTCAATGCCGGAAATTCCGGCCGGTTAGACCAGAAACCGGAAATTAATGTTACACACATTATATCCAAAAATAAACATCTTCCATAGGATTTGAACCAAGGACCTCTTGTTCATTTTAGTTTATCTTATACACCAGTAGGCTACAAGCAATTTTGTTATCTATATTAACCTTATATGTTATATATCTAATACTAAATTTTACAAAAATAATTATAAACATTAATAAAATTTATTTAATAAAATTTTATTTTTAAGCATCTAATTGTTTAGTATTAGTTACCAATTCTTAGCTATAAATTATTTTGTGTGAAATAATTCTTCTAATTGCTTTTCTATGACTAATTTATTTGGAATTGAGGATTTCCATTTTTCTCATGTATTTTATTAAAACCGGCACAACCGGCATGAATACTAGTTGTACCACGATCAGACCATTCCACTTACAAAACCGGCATACCGGCATAAACCGGTTTAACAACCTTGCCTATAACATAGCATTGTAAAATTGGTCATGGCTAGTGTGATGTTATCGTCATCGTAGAGAAAAACAAAAAACGAGAGGCCACGGCAGCGCCGAACGAGAAAACCTTGCCATTTATGTTTGCCTGCCTGCCACCATTGCCAGCCACGGAGAGAGAAAAATTAGAACAGTAAAAGACCCAAACACCCCCTTTTTCCTCTCTGTCTCGATCTCTCCGCTCGTCTAAAATTCTCTGCCACCGTAAATCAAAATTTTCCCAAAAACAGATTCCCCTCTCTCTCTTCTAATATATTTCCGGATCTTCTCTCCTTCTCTTCTTCTTCTCCTGGTTTTCTTTTTTTCCACCATCGAGAAGAAGACCTCTCCTACGAATTCCAGGTAAAAGGAAGAAGAAAAGATAGAAGAAAGACTACCAAAAAAATGAGTACGGGAGAGCTTCTCAGCATCGAACCTCTAGAGCTCAAATTTCCATGTCAGTTCCCCCACCGCAGATCTCTCTTTGTTCGGTCCTTTTCTGATGGCCGCTTCTGCGTTCCTCACCCGCTACTCTTTTTTTTGTTTTTGTTTGTGGAATCAGTTGAATTGAAGAAGCAGATCTCATGTTCGCTTCAGTTATCCAACAAAACCGATAGCTATGTGGCTTTCAAGGTGACGATTTCTTCGTCCTTTCTCCCCGCGAATTTTTTTTTTATCTCTCTCGCCTTCTGGTGTTCTGTTGTCACAATTTGGAATTATTCCAGTCCCGTTTGCCGTTTGCCGTTTGCGGCGGGATCGAGTTCTTGTCGTTTTCGTGATGTGGTACTTCTGTTTGGCTGCTTCGGATGGGGAATGGAGTTTCTGAATCATCTTTCTCTTTTGAGTTGTTTGTACTTTTTCTGTTTGTGTTTGTTTCTTTCTGCTCCATTTCTCTTCTGCGGCAATTCGAGTCCGATCGCGGGAGCAGCTTGAAATCTCATGCTCGATTATGGCTTCAATTTCAAGTGCAGAATGTAGATATGCGATTTCTTGATTTGTAAAGTTAGCTGTTTTTTCTTTTGGATCGGTGATGGTGGTTAACTGATTATGTTTGCATCTAGGTCAAAACAACGAATCCTAAGAAGTACTGCGTTCGGCCGAATGCAGGGGTCGTCTTGCCTCGCTCAACATGTGACATTATAGGTAATCTCTGTGGTATCCGATTGTTTATTGTTGAGTTTTGTCGGAAAGATTTATGGCGTGGGTTGGTTGGTTATTGGGGTGATTTTGCTCATGTTACTCCTTCGTTTTGCTTTCAGTTACAATGCAAGCGCAAAAGGAGGCTCCTGCTGACATGCAGTGCAAGGACAAGTTTTTGCTACAGAGCGTAAAAGCTCCCGATGGTTCTGCTGTAAAGGATATCACTGCGGAGATGGTACAATTTTTATGTTGCTGTGCTTATGTGCTGCTTGTCGTGTAGAATTCTTGTTCGAGGCTATTGATCATGGATACTTGAGATTCTGTAGTTCAACAAGGAGGCAGGACACCAGGTTGAGGAAACCAAGTTGAAAGTTGTCTATGTAGCTCCACCTCAACCGCCTTCTCCTGTTCCCGAAGGTTCAGAGGAAGGGTCTTCACCACGCGGTTCTGTCTCTGACAATAGTCATGTAAACGGTGCTGAGTTTGCTGCTGTGAGTACTTATTCTTTCTATTGATGGTACTTCTAGTTTTGCTGCATTTAGGTGATCTGGTGCTGATATCTGGGCCTTATGATTGATGGTTGCAGGCTTCAAAAGCATTTGTCCAGCGGTTTGATACGGAAGACAAGTCTCCTGAGGTAAAAGTTCAAATCTGTATTCAAGTATCTCGTGGTGGATAATTTGTTCTGTAGGCTTTGCTAATTGTTGTATTCGTATACAAATATCAGATGGTTAATTTTTCATTTGGGTAGATATTACGAATCTATGTTTGCGGTAGGTTGTATAATATGGACTTTAAGACATTAGAGAGTTCTGAATAGGAATAGAAATTTCAAGTTGTAGAATCTTTTGGTTATATATTATTTTCTATTGTGCTTCATGCGTATTGAAGCATGATTCTGGTTATTGTGCCGTGAAAATGCTCGAGATGTATAGGTATTAATGATACATCAGTTGTTAGGCTTGCCCTTGCTTGTTCCACACCCACATGTTGAAACTGTTGAAGAAACGGCCAATGTTATGTGGATGATTGGTTTATTTCTTTTTGTTGAGCTTTTATTAATGTTACACATGGCTGGAATGTGTGCAAAAGGGATGCGAGCCAACATTTGCCACAAACTGTTACCAATGTTTTGAGTGGTGTATAAAACATCTAAAATGTTATTTTTACCTTATTAGTTGTGTCATATTCTGTTTTTGTCACTTTTCTACTATGTTCTTCAACCCTCACTGCTGTCTATTCTATTGGTTATTGCTGCACTCGTTACTTCTCTAAGGCAGTTTTATGGTAGTGGTTTAATACTATGGAAACTGTGTTATGAAGTTCTGGAGGTCTTTGTTAGGCATACATCTGACTTCTGGAGTAGTAGTGCAATGGCTCCTGTGCTTGTCTGTCTGGATTGTGGTTGTCTCCAAATGTATTCTCAGCTTTAAGTTCTGCTCTTCCCCTCATCCACGTGGTTTCTGTTTCTGTATATATACAGAGGGCTAGGGATTTGTATATGTGTTATGCCTCCGTTTTTGATATGTTGTTTGTTGAAGGATTCTTAGGCATTTGCTGCTCTAATGCTTGATACATGTACTGGCAGAAGCTCTTTATTGCTTTTTGATCTCCTATTATACCTTTATATCTGGACCGGAAACACATTGCTATATCAGCAATGCATCTTCTGTCTTCATGATTATGGTTTTTTATTCATTTTCCATGGGATTAGTAAGCCTGACACTTGGCCAAACAGTTTTAGTTACAAGCTCTGCTTATGTTGATGTAATTACAGGCTAAAGCCCTTATTTCAAAGCTGACCGAGGAAAAGAACAATGCCATGCAGCAGAACAACAAGCTTCGTCAGGAATTAGTAAGTCAAATCATTTAATATTCTTTTTTCATGGTATTTATTTATCAGTTCGCATAAAGAATTGATTCATGTTTCAAGTGTCAAGATGCTTTATGTTCACATTTCTATCATGGTGAAATGCATCGAGAGTTATCTCTTTTCCCTATGCATTTGTCAAGTGCCATTCTGTTAGTTGGTATTTCTGCAGGAATTTATTCCTTATCAAATCAAAATATTAAGGTAGTAACTAGTAAGAGAAAGGGGAAGTCACAAAAATGTAAATACTCAATGGTTTCTTCTCTCTGGATTTAAGGCACATTCAGTGAGTGAAATGGAGTTCTATCAAGTCAACCCCCTTAGGCTTTAACATACCCTGTTAGGTCAGATATGGTTTGCACCATAGAATTAACTAATGGCTTGTGCCTTTGTCGGGTATGGTTATGAATGTTTAAATACCACCACGGGGGTGGGCTTTGCATGTTTGGTTATTTTTGCTAAGATTTAAGCCTGAGAACAGGGTCAGTCGAAGGCCATTAATATATATCTGTCAGTTGCTTAGAAACATGAAAGTAAATTGGTTGTACTGGATGAAATTGTTCTGCTTCATTGTTCTTAGAAAAGTTGCCTGTTCTGCCCGTGTTCTCAAAGGTATCAAGATTTATGCCTTGGAATTCGTCTTACGCCAGAGGGTATTTTCTGATTGCAGGAACTGATCAGGCGGGAGGGAAGTAGAAACCGCGGTGGAGTGTCATTTATGTTCGTCGTGTTTGTGGGATTACTGGGGATGTTATTGGGATACCTCTTGAAGAAGACGTAAAGTGGCAGCAACAGCTCATCCATCCTCCCTGAACATAAAATCATGTTTTGAACATCATCATTCCCCCCTTATATTGCATTCAAAGAATGATGAAGGGATAACCGAAGCAAGGGAAAGACTCCAATGAACAGGGTTCATTTTTTAGTTAAACTGGATCTGTTATTAGCCAAAAGAATCCTTTTTGTGTTTTTCTTAGGTCAGGCTATTTGGTGGTTGCCGTTCTTCAGATTGACATGCATTTGTTCTTGTAACTTAAAAAGAGTTTTTTTTCCTTCTTTCTTTTAAATCTTTTTGGAGATTCTATATTAGACACTCACTATTGTGGTAATGTTGATACTTAAAGGCCTTGAATAATCTTTACACATTCGTCTCAAGTCATCGGGGACATTCTCAGTATTTCCCTTTACAAGCTTTAAGTGGTAGTTTAGTGCAGGGATTGTAAAATCGTATTGTATTTTATTGGCAGTCTGGCCTAGGACCTAATGGAGTTTAAGCTGGTAGGTGGTTTTTAAAGATATGAAATACGGTTAAACTACGATTTCATAATAAAAATGAGGTGTAAGGGGAGCAAAAACCGCGGTGGAATTGGGTATCTCTTGCACAAAGTTCGTAAAGTGTTCTCTTGTTAGTTGAACTGCATTTATTAATAGCTATGAGACTCTTTTGTGTTTGTAGTTAGACTAATCTATAAAAATAAATAATTGAATGTACTGAAAACACTAATCTAATCAGGTTGGGATATCGATTTTTTGGTTTAAATCAAATCGACAAAAACTTAATGGTTTAGAGTTTTCAGTCCAAAAGCACTTTGTACCTTAACGGTTCGATTTGGTCTAAATTAAAAAAATGGTAAGAAACATATACACATTCTTTGGTAGGGGTTGATGCATTGCCTGTAACGCTTAGCTATTTGGCGTACTCTCCCTCGGTTCAGTTTCTTTAGACCGAAACAAATAGGTAAAGAGATTGAAAACTAACAATCCATCTTAATGGTTCGGTTTCTTCACTTAATGGCACCGAACAGACAACCCTGATTTTTTTTTTACGAGAACATGAATTCATTTCATTAGCAAAACATTATGATTGGTCCAAAGAGACACGACCCAGATCGGCTTCAATGAAACAAAGAAGAGAAACCGGTGGATTATCCACCCAAACCACCTGACGATCCCACCCCCCAACAAAGTGGGCAAAGCAGTGAGCGATGACATTGTTCTTTCAAGGGGTGAAGTTCTAGGTCACTAGAATCCTCGAGAAATTCGAATTAACCTCCACCAATCTCAAGATCTCGTCACACCAAACCCCCAACTCATTACGGTCCCTTTCCCTTTTAATAAATTGCAACTCAACGCTTGGCAATCTTATTCCACAATGAGAGGGCTGAGCTCTCTTCTGTTTGCCTCCCGAAGCTCCATCAAGATTGCCCTCGCCACTGCTTCAATTGGCATGCAAAACCCCTTATCCTTCATAGCAGTGGCCCCTTGGAACCATTGGCAAAGCTAGAAAATTGTTCAAGGGGGTGCCTTTCTTCATACCGTAAAGAAATCAACTACGCGCATAATAGAAAAGTCAACTATACTAAAAAGTCAATAACATGATACTCAATATTCATATCATTAAAAATAATTGTTTAACCACATCGCTTACAATGAATAACGACAAGATTTCATATTCTAAGGGGTGGTTTGGAAGTTGTGATTGTTAGAGTTGTGTTTGTTGAATACATGTATTGTGCATAATACAATGTCTGGAAGTGCCAAAGTGTTAAACAATGCATGCATTGTTTTAGGTATGTCCCACCAACAATCACAAAAAATGATGCATTATACAATCTTGAGATTGTTGGTTTTAGATTTGTGTCAACTTTTTCTTTCCATTTATATCTCCAATAGTTTTTGTCTTATTCTAAAAGTTGAGGGCAAATGTGACATTTCCCCATAAAAGTAACTTTATGTAAATCAATGCATTAAGTAGAATCTCAACAACCAAACAATGTATTGTTAAAATGCATCCATTGTATCAATACATGTATTTATATTATGGTGATTCATTACAATGCAACGATTTAACATTCGCAACTTCCAAACGACCCCTAAAAGTAAAGTAGAACACATTCCTTGTCTAAAATGGCGCACACATGCATCTTGTTTAATATACGTCACCAACAAATTGTTCAACCACTCATCATTCATCTGAATCCGAAGATTGTTCTTGATATATTTCATGGAGGAAAATGATCTATGCAACAAAAAAAATAGCCCGAGAAGTTTTTTTTTTGTGTCCTCGAATAGTATCTCTTCATCTAATTTATATATCAAGATCTTTATTATATGACAAATCAAAGAACAACTTAGTTTAGTTAATTGAATCTTATAAGACGTAGGAGTGTGCTGGTGAGAAGAACAAATCCGTAATTTTAATTTCAAGATAAATTGTGCTTAAGGAGTTCTACCTATATTCTTGGATTTTTGGATCCCTTCCAAGGGGGCTGCTGGCACCCCCCACATCCCTGAGTGGCTCCGCCACTGCTTGGAACTCTCCCTGCTAATCCCAAATGATGCACCCAAGACCAACTCCAGACTGCTGCAGAACACCCGCATCAGAGTTTTGCTTGAAGACTCCCTCAGAGGCGGAGATCATATGTTGGGGATAGTGTTGATTTATATTGTTGTGTACCATTATGTAATTAGCCTCTTAAGTGTCTGATAATTAGGTTTAGTGGTTTGTTCTCATAAAAAAGGGCCTAACTCGGCTATCTCCCTGTAACGAAGCTTTGAGATAGTGAAAACTTTTTTGAGAGCGCCGTCTCTCCCCTGGATTAGTCCTGCTTGTCAGGGATACCACGTTAAATCTTTGTGTTCGGTTGATCGTACTTTCTCTAATTGTCATGGTATCAGAGCCTATGCTCTAATTGGTTGGTGCGTTTTTGGCTAGGGTTTGGGTCCTGTGGCGCTTGTCTTCTTCGTGAGTGTTGCTGCTCTCTTTGTGGTGCAGCGGTGGTGTTTTGGAGAATTGGTTGCAGGTTGGTCTCTTATTTGTCATTGGTTGGTTGAGCTTTTGGGCTAGGTTTCCCCTGGTCGTGTGTTCCCTTTAGCTCTTGGTTGACATGGCTTCTTCGAAGACAGATTCCTTCTCCATTAAGTTTGATGGCAAAAACTTTGCCCTATGGGAATTCCATTTTCGGAATTTTGTTGCTGGCAAACGGCTTCTGTCTATTTTGACTGGCGCCACTAAGCGGCCGGCTGAGGGTTCGGCAGTCCGTGAGCTAGAGGATTGGAATGCGTCAAATGCTCAGCTCATTACTTGGCTTGTGGAATCAGTGGACGTTCCGACAGGTCTCAGTTTGCGTCGTTTCACTCGGGCGCATGATATGTGGGCGCATATATGTGCGACGTATGCCCAACATAGCACGTCGCGTTAGTTTGAGTTGGAAATTGAGATTTCTTGTCTTACTCAGGGAGATCGGGATATTCGTGGGTACTACCAGCATTGCTTACATCTGTGGACCGAATATGACCTCTTGACTGCATCTCTTGTTCCCGAGGCAGCTTCTGCCGCGGTGCTGGCTGAACGGGCTCGGACTCGGGTTCTTCAATTCTTGACTAAGCTTCGGTCAGAATTCGAACCGATCCGTGCCTCATTGATCCATCGCAATGTCACCCAGATCGATGATGTTGTGGCTGAGTTGATGCGTGAGGAGACCCGGCTAAAAAGTCAATTTCAGCTTGATCATGGCGGGTCAAAATCTGAATCTGCATTTGCGGTTGGACGTCCGGCGGCAGCCTCTCGTCCCCAGTTTGTGCAACCTAGTACTGAGGGTGTTGTCTGTCATTTTTGCCGCGAGCCTGGTCACGTGCAAATTCATTGCACCAAGAGGAATTTTTGCAACTATTGTAAGCGAACCGGTCACATTGTTTTGGCTTGCCCCATTTTGAGCCGTAAGGGTCGGCTGCGTCCTGCACCGTCGGGTGGTTCTTCTTCCTCCGCTGGTACTTCTTATCCTGTGATGCTGGGTTCTTTGGATTCTTCCTCATCGTCCAGCTCGAGTTCGACTCCCATGTTTTCCGCCGATCAGGTTCGGCGGTTTGTCCAAGAGGCTCTTCAAGAGGATCTTTCGTCTACCTTTGCTACTGGCGCTTCTACTGGTAAGTCTCATCACTGGCTTTTAGACTCTGCTGCCTTTAATCATATGACGCGTCATCCTACTGCTTTTACGGATTTGCGTCCTTCTTCGCCGATGTCTCTTCAAGTTGCTAATGGTAATCACATTCCGGCTAAGGGTACTGGTACTGTTCAGACGGGCTCGATCACTCTTCCCCGTACTCTCTTTGTTCCTCAGATTCAACCCAACCTCGTCTCGGTCGGTCAGTTGATAGACGATGGTTGTACAGTTTGGTTTGATTCTACTGGTTGTGTTGTGCAGGATCGGACCACGGGGAGGGTGATCGGGACGGGAAGTAAGCGTGGTCGTGTCTTCGTACTTGATGCCTTACATGGATGTGATGACGTGAAGGCTGCATGGAGAGGGCGGGATGTGATTCCTGCATGGGAGGGCGCACGACGTCAGGATGGTGTGGAGCATTATGTACGAGATGGGACTGGGAAATGTTTGAGTTCGGATCCGCCTTCTGCGGATAGTAGTAGTTTTGCTGTTGTTGATTTGGATGTTTTGAATAATTCTGTGTGGGATTTATGGCACAGTCGGCTTGGTCACCCTCATTCTGAGAGGTTGAAGGTTATGTTTAAACAAAATTTGTTACCGGATAAAGTGAATTTGTTGAAGCTTGATCGGTTATCGGATTGTATTAGTTGTATTGAGGCCAAGGCCTCACAGATTTTGTTCTCGCATAGTGACACCACGTATGAAGCACCCTTTGATTTGATTCACACGGATCTATGGGGGGCATCTCCGGTTCTCTCGAGATTGGGGTACAGGTATTTTGCTCTGTTTATTGATCAGAAGACTCGGTTTACTTGGGTATATTTCTTGAAGCAGAAGTCCGAGTTAACTTCCTTGGCTCGAGAGTTTATTCAAATGATCAAGACGCAGTTTGGAAAAACGATTAAGGTTCTCAGGTCTGATCCGGGAGGGGAGTTTTCCTCTAATGAGCTTCTTGAGATCTTCAAGTCAGAAGGTATTATGCCTCAACAATCTTCTCCAGGCGTGTCACAGCAGAATGGAGTAGTGGAACGTAAGAATCGTCACGTATTAGAGCTCACACGTGCGATCCTATTCCACTCTCGTGTTCCTGTCGGGTTCTGGGTTGAAGCTGTGCTTACGATCGTGTATTTGATTAACCGTCAAATTACACAGGTGCTAGGGCAGAAATCTCCATATCAGTTACTGTACTCGAAGGCTCCAGATTACTCCTTTCTCCGAGTGTTCGGGTGCACCTGTTTTGTGTTACTACAGCGGAAAGAACGTCATAAGTTAGCTCCAAAGGTGGTTCGCAATGTGTTTGTGGGGTACAGTGACAAACACAAAGGTTACATGTGCTATGATCCGGTTGCTCGACGTATGCGTATTGCTCATCATGTTAAGTTCATGGAAAAGGAAATGTATTATCAAGCTTCACATGCAGAAGCAAGTTCTGCGGCATCTCTTGAGTTCCTTACATCCCTTCCAGAATTTGATTCCCCATCCCTTCCTTTACAGCCAGAACCGACAGCCTCTCTTGGTTCAAATGATGATAGTGGACCGCCCTCCCCTGGTGAGATATCAACAACTAGTTTGTCTTCTAGCGGATCCACCTCTCCTGGACCAAATTCGTCCTCATCGAGTTCCTCTCCTGGCACTTCTCCCTCGTCTTCATCAAGCTCTTTCATGGGCAGTGATTCGACAGCTTCGACAGAGGTAGGTAATGATGATCCGCTTGTCCAAGTTCAAATTCCCTTGCGTTGATCGAATCGTGCGACGTTAGGGAAGCCGCCAGGTTACTTGCAGGACTTTGTTAGTTTTGCAGTTGAACCAGTCGTTATTCCTACGCGGTACTCGGAAGCTGCGAGGGATCCTAGGTGGAATGCTTCGATGAAAGTTGAGATGGATGCTCTCGAAGAGAATAGAACCTGGGAGCTGGTGCCACGAGAAGATTGGATGTCTGTGATCGGGAGTAGGTGGGTATATACAGTCAAGATGAACCCTGATGGGACTGTCGAACGGTTTAAGTCCAGGGTGGTAGCACAAGGTTTTAAACAGGAGTATGGCATTGATTATGACGAGACCTTTGCTCCTGTGGTAAAGATGCAAACTGTTAGGTGTGTGTTTGCTGTAGCTGCAATGCGTGGCTGGCCTCTGTTTCAACTCGACGTGAAGAACGCCTTTCTTCACGGAGACTTGAAAGAGACTATCTATATGGAGCGACCACCTGGATATGAGAAGGGCGATTCTACTATGGTATGTAAGTTGGTTTGCTCATTGTATGGTCTAAAACAGGCACCTTGGGCATGGTTTGATAAGTTCCATGGTACAATCATTCAGGCTGGGTTTTCCCAAACTCAGAATGATCCGTCTCTTTTCACTCGTGAAACTGTAGATGGGATAGTTGTGTTGTTAATATATGTTGATGATATGATTATCACTGGCAGTGATAAGGGCGGGATTCGTGATGTTACTCAGGCCTTACGACATGCATTCAACTTGAAGGAGCTGGGTGAAGTATCTTATTTTTTGGGTCCGGAGGTTAATCGGTCGCCTCATGGTCTGTTTGTAACCCAACGAAAGAATATCTTGGATCTCTTGGAGTCAGCTCAGTTTGCAGATTGTATTCCATGCTCTACCCCTATGGAACAAAATCTGAAGCTGAGCCGTGACAGTGGGGAGTTGTTAGAGGATCAGTCAATGTATCGCAGTTTGGTTGGCAGCTTAATTTATCTGACTCATACGCGACCGGATATCTCCTATGTGGTTCAAGTAGTGAGCCAGTTTATGGGTATAGCGACTAATTTGCACCTCGCTGCAGTTCATCGATTGTTAAGGTATCTAAAGCAGACCCAGGATGTTGGATTATTGTTTCCTGCGACGGGAGAACCAGTAGTGGAGGCGTTTGCTGATGCCGATTACGCTGGCTGTTTTGATACTCGGAGATCCACTTCCGGTTGGTGTGTTCGGGTTGGACGATCATTTGTGTCTTGGAGGTGTAGGAAGCAAGATAGAGTTTCGAAGTCATCTACCGAGGCAGAGTATAGGTCCATGTCGGAAGTAAGTTCAGAGATGGTGTGGCTTCATCGGTTACTGGGACAATTGGGCGTTACATGTCGAGTCCCAATGAAAATATATGGGGATAACACTAGTGCAATCCAGATTGCTATAAATCCGGTATTGCATGAGAGAACAAAACACATTGAGGTACATGTTCATTATATCAGACAATTGGTGGCAGAAGGGGTGATACAGATTGGCTATCTTTCTACTGAAGATCAGACTGCAGATTTGCTCACTAAAGCGGTGGCTTCAAGTAGACATTGGTACTTATCTTCCAAATTGATGTTGCGAACCGCACATCAATTTGAGGGAGGGTGTTGATTTATATTGTTGTGTACCATTATGTAATTAGCCTCTTAAGTGTCTGATAATTAGGTTTAGTGGTTTGTTCTCATATAAAAGGGCCTAACTCGGCTATCTCCCTGTAACGAAGCTTTGAGATAGTGAAAACTCTTTTGAGAGCGCCGTCTCTCCCGTGGATTAGTCCTGCTTGTCAGGGATACCACGTTAAATCTTTGTGTTCGGTTGATCGTACTTTCTCTAATTGTCAGATAGAGGCCTAAGTGCATGCAAAGGAAATTGACCCCCTGGGAACTGTTAGCATCAAGGAAGGAGCAGAGCCAAGCCAAGGCTCGTGGGATAATCTAAGCCTCAGCAAGTTTATGATTGTTGTTCAGATGATTGCAACGTTCCTTCCATAGGTACCACAACACCACACCGATTTATGGATTTTCTGCTCTTCGAATTTCTTCCAAACTTCCTTAAGCCAGTCGATACAAGATTTATCTCCTCCAATCTCAAACGTCTCTTTCTCCTCCCAAACTTGGCATATGCTTTTGATCCAGCTGCACTCACGCAATACATGTAATTGAGTTTCAGAGAGACTATAAAAGAGGCAGTCTGGCCTGGCATCCTTAAATCAATTCAATCTTCAATGTGACACCCCACTAGTAAAATATTTCTCCTTGCTTTTCATAGGAACATGCGTACTTTAGGCGGAACGTGGAGTTTCCACAAGAGATTCCAGAATTCTGAGTCCTTTGTAGTAGTAGGGATCACAATGGAGCTGGTTATGCTAAACCATCCCATCCTCGCTTTCAAATATCCAAACCCATACTCGTCCCATACCCATGCGGGGAGGGTTTTCCAAACCCATCCCCGTACCCGTGGGTTTCGGCCTTTCGGATACCCATGAGTAATACCCGCCCCGTACATCCAACCTGATAACTCCTAAAATTTTATATATAAATTTTCAATTATAACACTAAACTAAATGCACATACTATATCATGAAGTCGACAAAGAGACAATCATTCTTAATACGGTTCAAAGCATATTATCCTAAAGCATCCGTTAATTCATAAAATAGAATGCAATGTAATCCAAATCATTATTCTCTTACTCTAATACGTCTATTAAGTAATAACTAACTAACTAACTAATATAATCTTGTTAACAATCGAAACATTGAAAGAGTGAAGGGAGAGTTGAGGTAAAAGAATTAAATTTTGATTTGGGTAGCCACCCAATTGCATTTCTACTAAATATTTTTTTTGAGTTACCCTCACTATTATAGATAGGTTACAATTTAGTCAATGTATTTTTTATATGTGAAGAAATTATCATAATGAGGCGGGTATGTGTATGGTTATGGGGTGGGAGAGGCTAAAACCATACCCGGCCCATACCCATCAAACGTTTTGCGGGTTTTACCCATACCCGCCCCATACCTGGTCAAAACAGGGATTCCCCGCGTTGAATGAATTGGGGGCGGACGGGTACCCGCGATCATGATTTGATTGCCATCCCTAAGTAGAAGGGACAACACTGAATCTAATCATGCGAAAATGTGGTTTATGTTATGGAAAAACGCCATTACCAAACTTGGCCTTAATATTCGGCTCAAGATACTATGCATGACCAATGGTTATGCACCCATGAGTAACTAAATCTAAACCTTTATTCAAAAAATTCAGATCTAAGGGTGGAGAATTAAATGCATTTTTATTTTCCCTTGTTTTTTTTAATCGACTCATATCTTCTTCGTTTTAACTCGGATTTCAATTTTTTTTGCACAGATGGAACGGATTCGTTGTGCACTACAAAATGAGATCCATTTCCAATATTTTTTGAGGGAATTTTTTTATTGCCTCTCATTACCAACTGCATACCATATGGTATCTTCTTCGTTTTGAAGTCGTTTATGAACTTTTTTGCACAGAAGGAACGAGTTCATCATGATCTATTGGATCTACAAATTTCTAGGTAAACAAAACTCAGGACAAAAAAATATCACACAATACCTTACAATACCACCCTGGTACGGGGGGTGGTATCTTGTGGTACACAAAGTTGAAAGCCGTAAATGACAGTTAGTATACTCCTATCATGTATTCAACCATCCTATAGTCTTGGTATGTTCATACCACCATAGTACACTTTTCATACCATATGATATGCTCTTATTTCGATATAAGTCAATATCATGTGGTATAGACTGGTAAAAAATGACTCAATTTTTTTTTGTTCCAAAAATATATCAAAGTGTATATAATTATGAAGAGCACAATTAATCTGATCTAACTGTGAAAAAAAAAAATTCCAACTTAAAATGAGTGAGAAATCGTCTGATAAATAATAATATAGGAAAAATTAAAGACTTGTAAAAAAAAAAGGAATAATATGACGGATTCTGATTTGTTCCGATTGAATTATGGATAGTTATGCACCATTCAATTCCGCTGTTTTCCTTTTCCTGAACTGATTCGACTTTGGCGATAATTTATCCGTCTGTACTCCAACAGATTTCGCGAAGCCTCTCAGAATCCTTACCATCTTTCTCATCCCACTTCATATTAGGGTTTTCTCCTAGACCTTATATTATTAACACTCAATCTCCCAATCCCTAGAAGTTTCATAGCTGTTAATTCTTCAAAATTCGCCGCCGCCATGGAACTCTCCAAGCGCCGCAAGACTGTTACCGCCCCACCGCAGACGAGATCACAATCCTGGCAGCTTTCTTCTCCCGGCATCAGCAGCCTCGACGACAATCTAATCTTCGAAATCCTAACCCGCCTCTCAAACCCCAGATCCGTCTTACGCTGCAAATCCGTCTGCAAGCGGTGGAATTCCCTCATCTCCACTCCCGACTTCCTCCCAGATTTCCTCCGCCGCATAGCAACTCACGGCAGCGAAGACGAATTCCCCCTCCTCTTTCCGCAATCCCAGCAGGAAACCATGGGGTTCCTCCCGATCCCAGACAAATACCGCCCTCGGTTCCGCGTGCTGGCATCCTGCCACGACCTGATCCTCTGCGGGTTGACGACGCGCGACTATGTGGAGAATTGGTTCTACGTCTGCAACCCTTTCACGAAACAATGGGTCATCCTTCCGTTGGCCCCCAATCGAGGCGAAGCGCTCCGCAGGCAGAGGATCATGGTGGGCTTCGTCTGCCAGCCGTGCTACAGCTACTGTGGTTTCAAAGACCAGGTACTAATCGATTCCCAATTCAAGTTCAGGGTAGTTATTTTGTGTGAAAACGGAGGCGCCATGTTCTGTTCCGAATCAGGAAAATGGGTCGACGGGTTTAACCATTTCCAGGAAGGGTATGGGCATTTTGCAACCTCTGATAGCCACATTACCTTGCCTTCCTTCAACGGGAAGGTCTACTGGAAGGACGACGATTCACGTCAGTTAGTAGGTTTTGATCCGTTCCACATAGGCGGAGTAGTGGAAACCATCGATTTCTCCGAGTTGTATTCACATTCCCCACAATTGGTATGTCGATTCGACATTGGGGTTTCGAAGGGTTCTCTGCATATGATTGTAGCAGAGCAGGTCGAGGGAGATGACAGTTCCGTAGATGGATTGAGTGTTTGGAGACTGGAAGGTAAGAAGAATTGGAAGCTGGAGAATCGAATGTCTTTGAGATCAATACTCGGGAGATTCAATTTACAAAAGAATAACAGGGGAGGATTGATGAATAGTTTGGAGGTAAAAGGGGTATTGGGTATGCACCCATCTAATCCAGAAATCGTCTACTTAGCTTATGGCAATTTCGGTGCTTGCTATGCTGTGTCCTGCAACTTCAAGAGTGAAGAGCTCGAGCTTTGTGGCACTTCGACCTTAGAATCGAGGTTCTGTTGGAACGTCTTCCAACCGGAGGTCCCTTTCTGGCCTACCCCAGTTCCTGTTCCAACCTATGATCGTGTGGTGTTTTCTTATGTTAATGGTAGCACTGATAGCATTGTGGCTCATAGCAACGTGGTTGAACCATCAGAATTGAATAGCAGCCCGGGGAGACGGATGAGCTTTTCTTGGATGCGTATGATCTTCTGGAAAATGATTCCGAGAGTGTGAGAAGGAAGAAGTGGCTGCTTAGGAGACTTCATTTGAAGGAGGAAGTATCAGATGCAGGGGATTTGACTCGGCTGTAATATTGTAGAGCTTCAAGTTTGAGAACTTTTTGACTTACACTGACACTTGTAGCCGTATATTATGTTGGACGTTGCAAAAAGCTCTGCTTCTTATTTATGGCACTGGTTAGAATTATCTTGTTATGTTAAGGGAATTGTTTAATCGGGTTCAATAGTAACGCTGGGAGATAATTAAGTTGTTATGTTTTGATTAATGGAAGAGATGATGCATTTGCATACAACATGTATTGTCTCATAGTGTCTTCAACTCTCGCCATTCATGTTGGGCAGTTAGCACTTTTTGTTTTTTTTTTTGCACATATCATATTTGGTCAGAGTTGGAGAAAAAAAAAAGAAGAAAAGAAATATATAGCTTGGATGAAACTTATGTCAAGATCCGAACTGGCTAATGCTGAAGATCAATAGAAAAAAAGAAAAAAGAAAAAAGAGAGCTATCCTCATCACAAGAGCTAGTTATTATATATATATATAGCTTGAATGATCAAAAGGGGAATAGTAAGAATCATGCAATCGTAGAGGCGACAAACATATCGGATGCATAGATTTATAAAATTGCATTCATGGATTCTGGGTTTGATTGGTGAGGTCAAACTAATTTTTTATTTATTTAAGTAGCACCTGACTTTAAAAACAAAGTTATATCATTCTTGTAAAAAGAACTTTTGCAAACAAGGAGTTGGTCTAGTGGTATTACCATTGGTCTTGAAACTGAAGGTCTCATACTCGAATCCTTTAAGTAACACTTACCTAACTACAAAAACAAATCTATATCACCCATACATATAAAAAATGAAATTAGTTTGTAGATCATTTTCAAATTTTAAGGTGCCTTTGTGTCATACTAAAAAATGTAGGCACTAATGTCTACTTCAAAATCAAAATATATGTCTAAACAATCAAAGTTTAGGTACTAAAATGTGAAGTATACAAAATGTAGGTACTAAATTGTAATTTATAGAATTCCATTAAGGCAACGTAAGCTGTTCACCACCGGTCTATTGGATTCGACTAAATTGATACAGATTTGGTGGATACTTGCAGGATAATATGAACTGTCATTCACATGTTATTAAAGTTGAATTATATTTATACTCCAATCAAGTGTAAACTAGGATTATATTTTTTTTTATAGTGTGATTGGCCCACTGCTTTGATTAGCACTTCTCTGCTAGCTACCAACAAAGTTTTTTTCTTCCATCCCTTCCGCTTTGATTGTATTATTTTCTTGAGGCCATAAAAAAATCTCCTTCTTCGACCGTACAACTGCAATCGGCAAACCCAAATACTTCTCATGTTTTTCAACCATCACCATCTCCAGAAAGCCGCTAATTATAAGCTTTTTGTGATTCTTGATATTCCCACTAAAACTTACTGCGGACTTCTAGAACTTTACCGTCTGACTTTGACTCTCGCTCGTAGGTTTTGAGAATATCTCTCATCATCACGCTTTCTTGCACTATCAAATCACTATATCTTTATCGAGCTATTGAGCCAAACTATCAAATATATTGCCCAAATAACCTTGCGGCTACCTAAAGTAAACACAAGCCATGTCAAGCGAAAATCAACTTAAATAGATTGAAATTTGCACGAATCTAAACACCATTTGTTTGACCCAAATTCTACGATTTGAATGGAACCTTGGTAGATGGTGAGTCATTGGCTCAGTCAACGTACTTCAGCTGATAAAGATGGAAACTCTCGCACCCAATCTTCCAAATCCCGACTTCACCTCTTCTTCCCTTCCTTACTTTCTCTCATCCGTGTAACCAATCACGTGACCTCACCTCCTCTTGCACAACAGTTTCAGTTTAGCAGAAAGGATGAGCTAATGAATATAACGGTAATGGAGACCTGAGGTTTAGTATTATACTCGAAGAAGGAAGGATTTTTTGAAGGGTATTTTATAGAGCGGTAGTTGGAGGTTTAACATGAGATTGGTCTTTAATGTCATCATGTCACTACTTTCCTGTTGTACCCATTTTTTGGTCAACACTAGTATAACACTTTTCGTTTTTTTCTACATATCATATTTGGTCATAGTTGAGAGAAAAAGATACAAATCTGTCTTTTTAGAGTTATCGTTCTAATTAAAAAAAATTGTCAATGCTTATTGATCCGTATCATTAGAAAAAAAAAGGAGAATTATCAGCATTACAAGGGCTAGTGCATATATAGCTTGAAATTTGAATGACCAAAAGGGGAATACTAAGAAGCATGCAATCATAGATTTATAAATTGCATTTATGGATTTAGGATTTGATTGATGAGGTCAAAGTTAATTTAATTTTTTTAAAATAACTTTAATATTTTGGATTTAAGTAGCATCTAACTTTAAAAATAAATCTATATCGCTCTTATATATAAAAAAAATATATTTGCGAACATGGGGTTGGTCTAGTGGTATTAACACTGGTCTTGAAACTGGAGGTCCCATACTCGAATCCTGAATTAGCACCTAACTATAGAAACAAATCTATGTCACCATTATATATAAAAAAATTAGTTCTAGATCCTTTTGAAATTTGAAGGTACCTATGTGTCATACTAAAAAATGTAGGCACTATAATGTACTCCAAATCAAAATGGATAAATAGTATTTTGTACACCTCTACTATTTTAAATTAACTAACGTACTCATCTACTAAATTTTTGCACGAACATACTCTTCTATTATTAAAACGTAACAAATATATGTTTCCGTCCAATTATATGTTCATTATCTGTTTAATGGGCTGAGAAATGAGCCAAATGCCCCTCATTTAATTCTAATTTAATTTTAATTAATTTCTCACTCAACTAAATAAAAAATTGAAACCTAACTACCTAGCCCCACCTTCCTCACTCCCCGAATACCCTTTATTAAAGATACCCGACGACCATAAACTCCGACAGCTTGTTATCGACAACCATCGCCATCGGTCGGCAACACTCCTGGCCCATCGACCTCTATATCCCCCGCAAATTCAACTGACCTCGTCGATGGATGTTGTTTGGTGGTCATAGACGGGAAGGAGGCGATATTAATGTATACTTTTTCTAGGACTACAAATAAGATAATGTTAGGCTACAAAGAGCACCTCCTTTTTTTTCCTTCTTCCACCAAAACAAGAATTTAACTCAAACTCACTAATTCTAATGCAAAACTTTGACCTACAAGCATTGATGGAGCTGTTGTCGATTGAAGTGCGGTTTTGGTGCAAAGCTCTACAGGAAAAGTTCAGCTTTGGACTAGTTTATTGCATGGATTATTTGTTTGCTTTTAGATGGCTGGGTTTAGTTTGTTGATTTTGTAGGTGCGACTATATTACAACATCATGAGAGAGTGGGTTGCATTTGCAGCCTTTAGCAAGAGGCTGGCGGCACCCCGAGTCCCCGACCTCGCCGCCTGGCTGTCCATTACGGATTTTAGCAAGGAGCTTGAGGATGTAGTGTGGGTTAAGCGCTTCACCGGCGCCGGTATTCGGCACATATAATTGGATCTCGTTGGCTTTGGCCTGTCTTTTATGTTTTTGTTTTGCAGGAAAAGCTGGTATGTCTTTTGGCAAATGCTGGATGTTTCCAATTAACACCTTGTAAGAAGGCTAGGATTTGCGCTTGTTGGCGGTTTGTTTCCTTTTATGGGTTTTTGTGTTTTTGTCACTGCAATTATAGGAATTTTGACAGAGCTGCCCATTTAGTGGAAAAAGGCTTTTTATCGGTGGATTGATTAGCTATCAACCGCCGCATTTGCTTATTTCATTTACTTCACAATTGTAAGCATACTGCATTGTACACCTGCCTATGACAAGAAAAAAACTTTGACCTATACACCACATCGTTAGCAAATGCGTATGGCTCGAGTTATGGGGGCCCAAGAGTCTATTAAGTCCAATACTGATAGCAAACAGTCTGAACTTATCATTGGACGAAATGCCTCTGTGTTCTAAAACCCTAAAAGGAATTTTGACCAACGATCATTATATATAGAGATCCAATCCTTTGAAAAGTATTAAGCTGTAATTTGCCAAAAACCATAAATTCACTAATCTAATTGGATTTGGATCAAATAGATTGAATTTAAATAAATTGAATTAATTTGATATTTAAGTGAATGAATTCAATTGAATTGGATTATATATTGCCACCTATATCAATTCAATATTATGGGCCCCAATTATATATTAAGTCCTCTAGAGCTAGTGAACAAGCTCAACTCTCTAGTTTCAACTTAATTAGACGGAAATTGGAATGTATGATGTATCTGTTCCGAAACCTAAAAGGAATTGTGATCAACGATACCTAATTTATATAAGTAAATCCAATCCTTAGAACCGCAAATTTGGCTCACTATACTTTTTTTCTTCTCCACGATGACCGCCGCCAACGTAGCACCGGAGCAGCCAATGCCGTCAAAAGCGCGATTCTACCTAAAATCGTAAAAGGGATAAAATCGAAAAGTGGTGAATCAAAGCGTAAAAGCATAAGTTTTTATGCATCCTGTATAATAGTTAAAATATGTTAAATACGACATAAACTATGTAAAATATGAGTGCACAGAGTTTAGATAAAAGAATAAATACCTGCAATTCATGTCTAAATGAAAACAAACTATTATCGAGCCATGACCACATGGCTCTTCCGCTGTACTCTTCGATCCATCGATCTCCCACCACTAGAACAGCCACCGTTGTTTCCGCCTCCGCCTTTATATTAATTAATCGTACAATCCAACTCTTTGTCCTAGTAACTAATAAAAACAATTGCTTTCCCCTTCATTGAGTAGACGACGAATCTTCATAGTTACTGATGTACAATGAAACACAACTACTCAAATTAGTGAAGACTGAAGTGGCGATGGGCTAGGACAAGGAAGAGACAGAAACTAACCAGTTGTGTCGTCGGCGAGTGGGGACAGGCGATGACGAGTCCGATGGGCGATAAGCGGCGGACGCTGCCGTGTTGGAGGCTTGGAGCATTGTAGCAGCTGCAAATTCTTCGCTGAAAGATGGTGGACTGGCGGCAACGGTTGAAAGCATTGTAGCAGCTGCAGATTTTTCGCTGGAGCCTGGAAGGCCTACCTCGCGATGGCGGCGACAAGCGATGACGAGTAAGGAGGGCGGCGACAGGCCTGCCTCGTTGGAGTGCTGGAGACAGGAGACAACGATTAGGGATTTTGGAAGAGTTTGGCAGCCTCGTCCCGATATCCA